AGAGAGAGAGAGAGAGAGAGAGAGAGAGAGAGAGAGAGAGAGAGAGAGAGAGAGAGAGAGAGAGAGAGAGAGAGGCGTCGTGCGGTCCTCCAAGGACCGTAGTTTTTTATAACTGTGATCATCGCAATTTTTGTTGCTTGCGCTGCTCCCGAACATCATGATGGTTGTCGACGACGACGTTAGTGAGCACCGCCATCTCTGTTTCGAAGTTTGCTCTGTCTCTGTTTCGAAGTTTGCTCTGCGCTCAATGCCTTCTTAATATGATCGTCCTCTTCTTGTCGCAGTCTCTCTCACTCAGTCGTACTCTCCTTCCTCTGTCCTCCTTTTTCTCTTTCATAGCTGATGCCTACCAGCTCCACAGTGTTGTGGTCACCTCATATTGATAAAAGTGAAGAGAGAACAACTTGAACTGATGATAGAGCGCCAAATACAGCTATAGTGACCTGGCGTTTGATCGGGTGAAGACGGTAAGCTCTTCGTGTCAGAGACACTCTCACTCATCGTTACTCCGACTTTTCTTTTTTTTGTCCACAGCTGAGATTTGAGAGGCCCGTGGTTTATACCTGAGCTGCTTTCCATCGAAACCGTATGCTAAGGGTTCGAATCGCTGTGTCGCTCTTTGTGTCGGAGACGTTCTCGGTCATCCTACCTTTGTGCGGAGCCACGTCTCTCTCTCTCTCTCTCTCTCTCTCTCTCTCTCTCTCTCTCTCTCTTCTCGTCCGTCTCTCGGTCCATCTTCGTGGCTCTTTTTTTTGTTGTTATTGCTTTGTTTCCTCTTCTTCTTTTTCTTCTTCGTCTTCTTCTTCTTCTTCTTCTTCTTCTTCTTCTTCTTCTCCTCGTTCGGTCCTTGATCCATCTCCGTGGCTCTTTTCTTTGTTGTTATTGTTTTGTTTCTTCTTCTTCTTCTTCTTCTTCTGCTGCTGCTTTTTTTTTTCTTCTTCTTCTTCTTCTTCTTCTTTTCGTTTTGACTATTTCTCGATTTATGAGTTTCATCCCTGCGCATTCTAATTTTCTCTGTATCGTTCCAATTTTAACGAAGGTCCCGGAGGACTTCTTGTTCTGTTTTTGTTTTTTTTCCTTTTTTTTTTTGTTAGCTCTCTCTTATTTTACTGAGCAGGAGAATTTTCACCATTCCTCCCTCCCGCCCCCCTTCTCCCTCTTTTAACTCAGATGTACCCCCTAGGGCAGCTTGAGCTTTCATGGGTGATCATGTGCTTTCGTTCAGACCTCAGCTTTTTGTCTGCCTTGCGTCTTCATCTGAATAGAATGCCCGATTATCATAGCTGTGTTTGGGGTAACTTACTAACTGTCAGTCCAGATGCAGCGGTAGTGACCCAGCGTTCTATTCGGGTCAAGACCGAAGGCTCCGTCTGTTGATGGTGGCAGCAGCAGCATATGGTCAGACACACACAGGAGAGTAGTCCTGCATTACGTTTGTGTCAGGGGCTCAACGGCGTGCACGAAATACTGATCCGTGGTCCATCGGACCATAAAATGTCTGTCGAAAAGAAGGTTATCGACAATTTTTATTTTTTTATTTTTTTATTTTCCGACAATTTTGCATGGCCACAGAGACTTACGAAGTATTGCGGGTGAAAAGAAATTCAAGAGGTGTCATCCGAATGGTACGCTCGACAACCACCCTCCCGCATTCGTTTCCTCCCGCCTGCAGGGGTGTGGTCCCACCTACAGCGTTGAGGGTTCTCGACGCTGAGCTTTCTATCACGTGTGGCATGGTGGGACGGAGCTCTGCCGTTGATGTATTGCGAATCTAATGGTACGGAAATACAGGAGAATAACCTAATATTAGATTTGGTCGTTTTGCAGATTTTTTATTCCACCTGAAATCCCTTTTGTAGTATGGTTTTGGCCCTTTTGGTTTGGGGGGGGAAACCATTTTGCGTTGAGAAAACTACCCTACCCTAACCTACACTACCCTACCCTAACCTACCGAGGCTAGAGTAGATTTCAATTTTTTTTTTGTTTTTTTTTTTAATCAACCAGATATTTAAAATAAAAAAAAACTAAGGAGAGGCCGGGGACCTCACAATTCAATCCGGAGTTATCCCGGCAACATCAGCCGGTTTAGCTTAAACTCTGCATCCCATTAATAAAACAAGGTAAAGAATTATACCCCCTACCTACTACCAAACACAAGTAGTTCAAGGTCTAGTCCTGTAGGGAGGTAAGGTCTAAATTAGAAAGGTACCTAATTGAAGAATAGTCTACTTGGTACGACTACCAATACTAAATCTACCAACCAACCAGTCACGTATCAAACTTAGTGTAAAATGGCCTACAACATGTCCTATAATTCCTTATGCAGCCAGGCCTTTCTCCTTTCTATCAGCTCTTTTCCTCATGGGCCCCGTCTGCCAGCCTCAGCTTCCCGTCTGAGGAGATCGAGGAGAAGCAGATATTCTTTGTCCATGTCTGTGAGAACCAAAAGCTTCTTTCGTGACTGTTGCTGAGCAGCTTGCCAAACTAGTACGTGAAAACAACTTTCCTAACAAAAACCAAACAACAATAGTTAACCTTCTACTGGAAAACACCCTCTGGCACAACATACTTCCACAGAGAAATTACTTGTCCTACATGTATTTCCGGGGCCTAAGAACGGCATCCTGTAGTGAAAACTGGGACAAGAAGTAGCAAGAAAACTGTAGGCCTATGCCAGCGGCCTATTTCCTACACATCCGGGAGGAGCCAATCCGAGAGACATAGCTTGACAAGAAGGAAGTAGCAAGAAAACTGTAGGCCTATGCCAGCGGCCTATTTCCTACACATCTGGCAGGAGCCAATCCGAGAGACATAGCTTGCCTTCTGCAGAGATTGTAGCCCAGGATCCATTCCTGCCCCATGTCTGTGTAAACCAGTAACAGCCCTTGCTGGACTGTCGTCCTGACGCATGCCACTCTGATTGTCTGTGCAATCAGGGATTTCACTCTTGCCATCAGACTGTGAAAGGTGGTTGCCTCCTGTTTGAAGGTAGCCCTATTGCGGGTCTGCCATATAGCTTCCATGAGTTCCCCTCTGCAGGACAGAGCTATATAAGCCCACCCCGAGGAGAAGTCCCTTCCTTCTTGTGTCAGACCATGTAGCGCCCATTCCTGCGTCCACTGGAAACTCTCATCAGTGGCTGCCTTCCATCTCTCTTTCCACCATTCCCATAACTGCAGTGAGTACGGGCAATACAGCCAGATGTGTGAGGCTGTCTCCCAGCCTCAGTTACAGCGTGGACAATGCGAGCTGATATCCATTACCTTAGCAGCTAGCCACGTGGCCTCAGGTGCTGCTAAAAGCATCTGTAGCCAAATCAAGCTAAGCCTTGCCTGTTTTTGCGAAACCATGGATTCTAAAGACTTCCATATGGCGTATACATCTATATTACCCAGACTGAAGCCTGGTTCCTTTGAGAGTTTCTCCGCAGCTACCACTACTGGTTGTTTCTTAACCCTGGCCCTTAGTATTTGCACTCCCACCTTAGGCTTATATAAAGCTACCGGCGTCTGGAGGGCGGAAGTCCCTTCCCACCCATATAGCAAGGGTTCAATCTGAATTCCGGTGGCATCCTCCTCCAAAACCAAGGCCACTTCTTGGCTGCCAAGTGTACGAGTCCACACTCGTCTTTCATTACAATCCATTGTTGTGGCCACCACCTTCTTTCAAGTGCCGGCTCAGACCGAGCCCCCAGCGGTCGCCTCCAAACCTGGACTTTAACGCCCTGAGGAAGTTCTGGCCCCACGACTTTCCAGAATTCTGACCTGTCGTCTGGACTCTGTAACCACGCCCCCTGCCCATGCTCGATTGTACTGGGAAGAAGAAATTTCCAGTGTCCCGGCATTGAGTTAATAAGCAATCTATCCAAATTCGTTTCCACGTTATGTAGCCGAGGAAGCTTCTTTCTCAGTGCCTCGCCAGTCAGCCAAGAATCTGAACCCACATCCCAAATGTCCTTAACTTGGACCACCCCCGGTTTTACCCAGGCCTTACCAAAGGAGCCTGCACTCCCATCAGCTTTAAACCACGTGCCATCTGGCTGACTTTTTTTTTTTTTTT